TTTCTTATCGCTTTCGGTTACGTATCCTCTGATGTAAGTGACGAGAAGCGCCTCTTTTGTGGTGAGCCCTCCGTCCGCATAAGCGGCCGCTATTTCGCCAAAAGAGTGGCCAATAATGCCGTCGGGAGTAATATTCAGCGCTTTCATCACATCAAACAATGCGATCTCGAGAGCAGTTGTGGCACAAAACTTGTTAGTCATTGAAGACATGGACTTCTTATCATCGGATAATAACAAGTGCTTCAAATCGATACCAAAGGGTTTGAGTATTTCATGGCATTCATCGATCTTATCGGCGAATATCTTGATTGGCATCAAAGCCTTAGCCATTCCAACCCATTGTCCGCCCAAACCGGGGAATATAAACCAAACAGGTCTCACATTTCTGGCCTTCAAAACTGATGACTGCCTTTTGTATTCGTATTTAATTTGATTCTTCCCTTCAATCACTTGTTTAATGAAAATTGAGCCTAAATTTGAATAAAAAATACAATTAATAAAACAATTATAAGACTTCGTTTTGCACACCTCTATAGGGAAAGCCGACAGTCTTTATAGAAGTTTGAGTTTTCATAGTATCGGCCAAAAGGGCCAAAAAATCTCGAGTAATCTTTTGTGGATTGTTTTGAATGAAATCAAACATTTGGTTCAACGCCTCTTCGGTTCGGCAGCAGATGTTCACAATTCTCGGGATTGTGTCCGCGATCTGAAGACTGTCCGCATCGGACACCTTATAGTTGGGTTCGAGCAATACGTGTGCATTCACTCCCCCGACACCGAAGTTGTTCACACCAGCGATGCCTGAAATTAGGGTTCAATTATCAGTAAATGACAAAAATTCATTATTTGCATCAATTCATACCCGGAGTATATTTCAAGTTCTCAGTGATGGGAACCAATGGCGGACACATGTCTGCGATCGTAGACTTAATGTTCTTCAGGTGTAGATTTCGAGGAATGCATTCATTCTCGTATGAAATCAACACTTTAGTCATCGACGAGACACCAGAGGCGCCCTCCGCGTGACCGATATTACTCTTCAGTAGACCTATTGGTAGAGTTCCCCGCCTTTTGGGTCCAAAACAGTAGGCGTTGTAAATGGCTTTCGCCTCCTGAGGGTCGCCGACCTAAACACCACACAAACCATCGCTATATCAATACAACACACCGAACACATGCCTTCAGGTCATACCTTAGTTCCCGTGGCGTGAGCTTCAAAGTAGTTGACATCGAGCGGATCCACTCCCGCCTCTTCGTACACCTTAACCATCAGCTCCTCCTGTCGTTCGGCCGACGGGAAGAACATTCCCATCCGTTTGTTGCCATCGATATTCACTCCTGAGTTCAAAACAGTGGCGAAGACCCGACGGGCGGCGGACCGCCTCTGGAGGAGAAAACAGGCGACAGTCTCTCCTCTGACAAAGCCGTCGGCCGTTTGGTCCCACACTTTGGGGACGCCATCCGAAGCGTTCAGACGAGTCGATTGGAAGATATGGTTTGTGAACGCCTGAAGGTTGACATTAGTTCCGCCCACTATTGCCGACTCACACTTCCCTATAAGACATGACAGCAAAATGTGTTAACTCTTGTGTTTTACCACCGATTGTCTCAATAGTTATCTCACGTTTTCATTCATTATTACAGTTTTACACATGTGTTCACCCCCTAAACCCATTACCCCTTTTAGATCACTCACTGTTTCTTTGCATTACACGATATTTCTATATAAATAACTGGTTTATACTATTGATGAGTGTTTTGCAGTGAAACACAACTATTTGTATCAAAGAAATAGAGTCTGTTTTGTAAGGCACTTGTTTTGAGTGTAAATGTGTTTTGCATTGACATAAATGTATGAAAAACTAGTTTACAATACTTTACAATAATATTTCTTTACAACTAATACAACTTTTTGTAATTTCATTCACAAACTTATAACTTATGAATGATTCACATATTATTTACGATTATTGCAAATTAGATTAAAAGTTGCAAAAGTTTTTCCCAATAAAAATCACATTAAAAACTACAAAACTAAAAATGTATGCAAAATGAAAGGACACAAAAGCATACCTAATCTCAAGTCATTCATCGCTGTATTGAAAGCGACTAAACTGGAAGAGCAGGCGGTGTCGATGATCATCGACGGGCCTCTCAGGTCATAGACAAAGGAGAGTCGGTTGGAGTAGAGACACTTGGCCTGTCCCTGAACCCAGAGCAGGGTTTCCGTCATTTTGCTCTGCGAGTCGGGCGCCACCTCTTCGGGCAAACCCTCGGGCATACCGAACGTCGAGTACCCGATGTATACACCGGTGTTGGAGCCGCGCAGGGATTGCGGATTAATGCCCGCGTCCACAATGGCCTCGTATGTAGTCTCCATCAAAAGTCTCAAATGCGGATCAATCGTATCTCCCACGGCGTTAATCACGCCGAAGAAGTTGCCGTCAAACTTCTCGATGTCCTTTAATTTGCCCATTCTTTGGTCCATTCCATACATTTCTGGCGTCAATTCAAATGTTTGTTAAAGTTTTAACGTTTGTAAACAATGAGAGTATTATATATTGAGAGCAAATCTATGACTTTTATGTATAAGAATATTCTGGTCTAAAGAGTTGATTCATACCTGAAGGCCAGCGACGGTCATCATCGGTGATCATATCGACGCCGTCGTACAGATTCTTTGCGAACTCATCGGTGGAATTGGATTCAGGAGGAGAAAACAGGCGACAGTCTCTCCTCTGACAAAGCCGTCGGCCGTTTGGTCCCACACTTTGGGGACGCCATCCGAAGCGTTCAGACGAGTCGATTGGAAGATATGGTTTGTGAACGCCTGAAGATTGACATTAGTTCCGCCCACTATTGCCGACTCGCACTTCCCTGTAAGACATGAACGAAAAAATGTGTCAACTCTAGTGTTACCACCGATTGTCTCAATAGTTATCTCACGTTTTCATTCATTATTACAGTTTAACACATGTGTTCACCCCCTAAACCCATTACCCCTTTCACATCACTCACTGTTTCTCTGCATTACACTCTATTTCTATATAAATAACTGGTTTATACTATCGATAAGTGTTTTGCAGTGAAACACAACTATTTGTATCAAAGAAATAGTCTGTTTTGTAATGCATTTGTTTTGAGTGTAAATATGTTTTGCATTGACATAAATGTATGAAAAACTAGTTTACAATACTTTACAATAATATTTCTTTACAATTACTACAACTTTTTTTCGTAATTTCATTCACAAACTTATAACTTATGAATGATTCACATATTATTTACGATTATTGCAAATCAGATTAAAAGTTGCAAAAGTTTTTATCAATAAAAATCACATCAAAAACTACAATAAAAATGTATATGAAATGAAAGGAAACAAAAAATCATACCTAATCTCAAGTCATTCATCGCTGTATTGAAAGCGACTAAACTGGAAGAGCAGGCGGTGTCGATGATCATCGACGGGCCTCTCAGGTCATAGACAAAGGAGAGTCGGTTTGAGTAGAGACACTTGGCCTGTCCCTGAACCCACAGCAGGGTTTCCGTCATTTTGCTCTGCGAGTCGGGCGCCACCTCTTCGGGCAAACCCTCGGGCATACCGAACGTCGAGTACCCGATGTATACACCGGTGTTGGAGCCGCGCAGCGATTGCGGATTAATGCCGGCGTCCACAATGGCCTCGTATGTAGTCTCCATCAAAAGTCTCAAATGCGGATCAATCGTATCTCCGACGGCGTTAATCACTCCGAAGAAGTTTCCGTCAAACTTCTCGATGTCCTTTAATTTACCCATTCTTTGGTCCATTCCATACATTTCTGGCGTCAATTCAAATGTTTGTTAAAGTTTTAACGTTTGTAAACAATGAGAGTATTATATATTGAGAGCAAATCTATAACATTTATGTATAAGAATATTCTGGTCTAAAGAGTTGATTCATACCTGAAGGCCAGCGACGGTCATCATCGGTGATCATATCGACGCCGTCGTACAGATTCTTTGCGAACTCATCGGTGGAATTGGATTCCGGGAACCGACCGCTCATTCCACTGATCACTATATCTTCGGCGATAGTTTGCGGATATATTCTCTTTGTTTCCATTATTTTATGTTTTCAATGTTTTTAAAACAATTAATTCAATTCAAATATTATTAATACTATACTTAATGCAGATTAACTTATGTATAAGAATGTGGTTTGGATTGAAAATACTATTATAACTCATATAATCAAAAAGGAATGTTAAAACAATTAATGCAAAACTTTAAATTAAGGTTAATGTAAGAATTGGCCCTTATTTATACACTGGTTTGAATGTTTTTTATGCTAATGCAAGAATCGGCAAAACAATAAAAAATCATTTCATTTTATTGGTCTGAGTTATGGGAATATACAGGTATTCATTAAAAAGTCCTCACGTCATAAAAGTCCACATATTATATAATGAATCGGAAAGTGTTAGTAAACTATAATATTCTTCTTCTTCTTTGCCATAATTGAAAGTTTACGCAATTCTTATCTCAATAAACATTTGAAATGAAAATTTCCATATTTTTAATAGTATAGGAGTTTTTTAAACTAATGTCTTTACCAATTGATTTATAAATAGCACGAAATACACGGGAAATTCATTTCATAATTAGAGGGAGGAATCGGTCGACAGAGAGGATAGTATAGAAAAGGATGGAAACAAATAAATTGTATCACTAATAGTAGGAGAGTTCCAGTGCCTGACGTAACCCTATATTTACTCCTAACATACAAAACAATAATTATATTTTCATTTCTGTTTGTCCTTCAAATCGGATGCGATTTTTCCGCTTGAATACAAAAGCAAAGGGTTTATAACATTAGAAGTTATCAATTGTTGTCCAATATATTTCATGTTGGCTATAATTAAGATAAAAATAGAAAATCAATTGTTTTATTCAACTCTATTTTAAGTTTATATTGAGTGCAAATAATCTAATTTATTGAGATATTATTTTTAATGTAAAACTTTCCGATAATTTTTTATAATTCAATTATATTGATAATAAGCCAATAAATAAAATAAAAACAAATTTCTTAGAAAGTATTAAACATTAACGGATTTTACAAAATAAAACCGATTAAAATTTAGATTAAATGATATGACAACAAAAAATCCGTTTTGTAACTGCTTTTAATTTTTATTAAAGAAATAATGATTATTATTTAAACAAATAAAAAAAAGTTATAAAATTTAATTTTACGATACAATAAATATGTTATATTTCCAAGAATTAGTTAATGTGCGAAATATAATAGCTTTTAATATAGACATAATTTATATTTAATTAGTATTCAATTCACGGCTTAATGGCGTAAATCTATGCAAACAACTAATTGACAATATTTTGAGCAATAAATGCATGTAATTATAATACTTTAAAAGTTGTCAATGTTTTGTGTTTTCCGTAAAAAATCAAATATTTTTTTATTGTTGTGTTGAGAATGCAATGAATAAGTGATGCATTGATTGTTTCCATTGAAATGACTATTTTGGGAAACACTTAATTTCATTCATATTTGTGCCTCAATTATAGTATTCATTGCTATAATTATACGTTTTATTAATTCAATTGAAATAGACGAAATAATTGATTTTGAAAATTATATAAAAGTACAGTACTATCCAGGTAATTTTTAAAATAAAGTTGCTATTATTGATACAATAAAATTACTATTATTATGCAAGCAAGAATAATTTATAAAATTAACATTTCTACAATAAATTTAATATTTAATGATAGTTAATATTCAACATTTAGTTAATCCAATTCCCTGTTGGGTTTATTTAATCATTAAAATGTAATATTATTAATATAGAATTTCCTTATAGACATTAATATATGTGTTTTACATAAAAAGTTTGTCTATAAGTTTGAACATATTAGAAATTTTATTGGTATATCAAATAAAATTTAATTTGATTCTTAGAATTTTAGATCCAAGAATCCAAGAATAGACCAAATTTGCAGTTTTTGTCTATTAATCAAAATGCAAATATTAATTATTTTATTAATATTGAATATTCATTAACTAATATATCAATATTTTATTAATTTTGATAAATTTGTAAAATCGAATTTGGCCTTGATCATTTGCATAGTAACATGTAGATATGAAAGTAATTTACCAATATTTGAAGTCATTGTTTATTTCAAATATAATATATTATATATTTAACAAACAATTGATGCAAAACCAAATATACATTAAACATTACACGTATATTAGCAGTCCATTCACTCAACGCTTTAATTATCTCTTAAGGCTTTAGTTGTTTATTATATAATATGAAAGACATTAATAAGTCATTTGCGCTATAATTGTGTCGACAATAATATAAAGAGATTAAACATTTTGTAACCGATAAATAAAAAATTGGGTTTAAAAACACAAAAATAAAAATTGATAATTAAAATTCTTCATTAAAATGAGGGTTAAAATCATTTATATAAAAATACTCTCTTTCTCTCTCTCCCCCTTTCATTCACTCACTTATTCGTTCAATATTTGTTTATTTCTTTTATATAATTATAATAAAAAGTTAAAAAAGAAATCAAAGTAATAACACATATGTATAGCAATAATAAATGTTGCAATTCTCTCATTTGGCCAAAAATGCATTAATAGATTCTGCGATCTTTTCAAACGTTTGAGAGAATTCTCTTTCGCCATGAGTTGAGTCCACGGTTTGAAAGTTGAGTTTCCCCTCCAATCCCTTCAATACAACATTTTAGACATAAGTTTTAATTTTGCAACAAAAATAAAATAAAATAATAATATAATCATTATATGAAACCATAATTACCTTCTCGGGCAAGAAGTAGGCGTTTTTAATCTTCTCGATCTCATCGGAATTGATTTCGTCAACGCTTGATATTTTCGATGGCTTTATAATCAATAGTTTTCCACTCATTTCCAAATATTTCTTTCCGATATTTACTTTCAATTTTGAAAACTTATTCTTCAGATTAATCCTATAATTGGAGAACAGTCTCACTCTTTGGTGAGAATTCAACAGAATTTCCTCCAAATCTCGACTGACGAGCGATTTTCCCACAAACTCTTTGAGTTCATCACTGATTTTGACGAGCTTTGACTTCACGTCGGGCTTTAAATTGCAGTCTCTCTTGAGTTTGTCTCTCACTACTAGTGGTAAATCTTTAGCAATGAATGCGATAATCAGTTCCATTATGTACTCATCGGTCATTACCTCTTCGTCCATCTTGATCTCAGACAACATATCAATGATGACAGCTTTGCCTATCGGCGCCTTCTTCAGCATATTTATGGCAATCAATGCGCCGTAAAAGTGGCCAAAGATGTCGTAATCGCCTTTCGGGTGCAGAGTCTTCA